ATGTATTCACCCAATTTCGTTTAAGGTGATGAAGTACTGGTAGAAGAATTTTCCCACAATGATATGAGTAGAGCTAACGTTTCCATTAAATTTTACATAGCCTTGATTTCCCAAAAGTTGTTCTTATCCAGGCTGGACTGCAGCTTCAATCTCGCATCGGTCGTATCAACACCTTCAGTGGGAATCGAACCGTGACAGTGCAGAATGGGAGCTTGATACGTTAACTACTCGGTCACATTGCTACGAGTGCCCTTAGGTCATAGGGCAAATGAGAATTTCACGAAAGGCAGGCCTTTTGCCATATCATATTATTTGGTGGGATTGTCGATGAAGCAAACGTATACTTGCTATGTGAAATTTAATGCAAACGTCAGCTCTATTTATACTATTGTGGGAAAATTCTTCTACCAGTCCTTCATCACTTTACACGAAATTGGGAGAATACGTCTCATATTATTTATCTTTACTCCAATTTTAATAAGCCTATTTTATTCTTATATCCTCTATATTTACTAGGAATTAACCCTTTTACAGTCCTACTTAGTAAGCAATCCTCAACATTATTTTGACAATCACCCTTTAAGCGCTTCAAGTATTGCATTATTGGTACTATATACTACAGAGCATAGCATCTCAGGTTTTGCGTTAATGCTCTTGTGATATGCAAGAATTTATAGACAAACTCAAGAAATATGTAACTACCATACTCCATTTTGACCAAAAACATTTCCCACCCCCCATTACTTATTCATCCGCACTATTCACAGCAGTGGCTCCGGAAATTAGTAAGGGTTCGCAGAGTCTTGTCGAGAAGGTGGATCAATCCAGTCGATTAGCTGACCCTGGTGATCGGACAAACCTCCCTAATCGATCGGTGACAAAGAGAATAACGCCGGCTCACCTACTGCTAGTCAACCATTCTATGAAGCAGCCTGGATTTGGTCAACTCGTGTCGCGGTTGTGCACAACTGGCACCCGGTCAACAGCCATACAACTGCCACCCGGTCGCCACTGCTTTCGTCTCTTTGCAGAAGCTCCTCTGGGGCTTGGCTACGTCATCAGGTTGCTTGGTAGATCAAGAAGACGGTCAGACTTGAGTAAAATTGAGGTAAACTAATTTTGTTGACAAATGCATGTATCATTAAATA